CTCACTTTGCTGAAATGTATAGTTTATGAGTAATAATTTTTTTTGTAAAATCATTACCTCACTTTTTTACACGGAATATTGACATAAAGTTACTTCTGTAACAGCTTCGGCGCTGCGGAAAGTGCAGCCCCTTCGCCCTTGCGTAGCAAATCGCAGTCACCCATGCTCATTTCCGCAGCTTCGGCTTGTTTGTCACCTTCGCGGCCAGCCTCGGCCGCTACGGCTAGCACGGATACCTGCAGTTTGCTACAGCGGGCGGGAGTTGATCTCCCTCCGCGCCTACGATTTTACAAAAACATAGGAGTAGGGCAGATAAGACTACGTGGAGTCGAGGCATGCTGTTTCGGTTTTAGAACAGTAATAAGTCAGGTTGCCCTAAACTCTACTATGATAATTTTATTTTATTTTATTTTATTTTATTTGGAACACCAACAGCATATAAACGTTACATGAATACAAATTGGTCATTTCGACAAAGCCATTTACAGGTATTCGCATATGGTTATTTAAATGTAAAGAGGCCATGACAACAGTAACAATAAACAAGTAAATCCCCCGAAGTTGAGGAGTGTTTTTAAAATTTGAGAGTATTTAAGAATTTGTCGCACCCACGGCGTGGGGGCCAAAGAACTCCAACGCAAACAATCTACTTACATTATGAGGCTTGGTACGGAATAGTTCTAATTCGCCGTTATTTATTGACAATTTGTTAAAAAAGTTACTCGCACGAATAATAAATGAATTGCGGCGGTAGTTAGTATTGACTCTAGGAATAGCTAGTGGCTGAGTACGTCTAGTTGGTAATCTACGCGGAACCCAGATGCTTACCTTTTCCAGCAAAGCAGGGCAATCAATGATGCCTCCGACAATTTTTAATAGATACGTAATATCGAAGAGTTGCCGTCTTTTTTCTAAAGGTAAGAAGTGGTATCTATTGCATCTCGTTTCATAACCATGGTCCAATTGCTTACACTTGTATTGTAAATATCTCAAGAACCTTTTTTGTATGGACTCAATACGGGAAGTATACACGTTATATTGTGGATTCCAGACCACAGAGGCATACTCAAGGATACTGCGCACATAAGCACAATAAAGTACTTTAATCGGTTTAATAGATTTAAATTCATATGTAGACCTTATAATGAAACCAAGAGACTTGGAGGCCTTTTTCACTACGTAATCAATGTGCTTATCAAATAAGAGTTTAGAATCTTGAATGAGACCCAGGTCTTTCATAGATGTAACTTTGTTAAGTGACTTATTATTGATTTTATACTGATAATTTATAGGGTTAAATTTACGAGAAAAGTTCATAGCAAAACACTTGGAAACATTCAAATCAAGCTTATTTTGAGTACAGTATTGCACAAAATTATTCAGATCGGACTGAAGGCGATCACAGTCACCAGAGCTGTTAGTGGCCATAAAGATCTTAGTGTCGTCTGCGTATAATAAGACTCTGGCATGTTTGAAACATAACGCAATGTCGTTTATGAATATAACAAAAAGCAAAGGCCCTAATAAAGAGCCTTGAGGTACGCCAGAAGGAATTGTTATCCACGCAGAAGTAAAACCATTTATTGCAACCGCCTGGGATCTATTACTGATGTAAGAAGAAAACCATCTAAATAAATTACCATGTATACCGGCTTTGTACAGTTTCTCAAGTAGCAGCAAGTGATCTATACGATCAAAAGCTTTACTAAAACCAGTAAAAATACAATCGACCTGTAGCCCTGAATCCATTTGTGAAGAGGTGTATTCATTAAAAACTAAAAGGTTTGATACAGTCGACCTCTGTCTTAAAAAGCCATGTTGTTCAAGAGTAAAAGAAGACTGCAGTGTAGCATATATCTGTCGGTAGACAACTTTCTCAAATATTTTGGCAAATATACACAACTTGGATATAGGCCTATAATTTTTTACATTAGAAAGGTCACCGCTTTTATGGACGGGCGTTACAAATGCTGATTTCCAGGTCATTGGCACTATACCTTCTTTTAAAGAACGCTTGAAAATAATACATAGAGGCGTAACCAAGCTATCTACGCACTGCCTTATAAAAAAAGGTGTTATACTATCAGGCCCAGCGCCTTTATTCATGTTAGTAGTTTTCAGCAATATTTCAACCTCCTTCGGATTTATATTTATGTCACCAATACTAAAATTATCTTGGCACTGATTATCAAGATTAGGTGTACGGCTATTAGCTTCGGGAACGAGAAAAGTTGATTGAAAGTATTCTGAAAATAAATTACACACCGATTGTCCAGTATCACCAGACTGGTCCTCGTATGTCATAACAGATGGTAGTGCCTGGGAGGGCCCTTTCAGCGACTTTGTGTAAGACCAAAAAAGACGTGGGTTATTTACTACCGAGTTTTCTACTTTACTTATGTATGACTGATAACACTCACTTTCTAATTTTATGGCTCTTTCTCTCAGAAATGAGTACGTTTCGTAATCGTACCGGTTACCATATTTTTTATATTTTTTAAAATATTTGAATTTTTCTTTTAAAACCTTTTTTAAGGCGGCGTTGTACCAAATAGGAAATGAGCTACTACAGGTAATTTTGTGAGGTATAAATTCGTCACGAAGATCGGTCAGAATACGATAAAAATTATGAACACTGTCGTCAATAGAACCGCTCGATAACAAGACATTCCAATCTGTTTTCGACAAGTTGGAATTAATTTCTACATAATTTCCTTCTTTGTAATTGAAAACGGTTCTCTTATTGACAGTCAGAAAACTAGGTATGTCTAAATTTAATTCGATGCAAATTGATCTATGGTGTAAATCCTCCGAGACAAGGGGGTGGTCACTAGGTAGTACATTTACATGGTTATTGCAAAAGACAAGATCCAGTAGCCTATCGTTGCTATTTCGTATGTTATTGTATTGGTCGAGATAACATTCATTAATTATGTCCAAAAATTTGCCTGACTTTCGTTTAAAACACCTATTGGCCCTAATTGACCGCTTTCCATTAAGACCCAGCTGATATTTGGCATATTAAAATCTCCCAAGACCATAAACAGGTCGTTGGGTGCAGAGTGAAAGTTATCCCCAAGCTTACTCGCGAAGTTATCGAGTTGTGTATTCATTGAATAGCCGCCTCCCTCCTTACATAAATAAATAGTGCAAATGTGTAATGCGAGAAGGCCGGCTTTGGTGCGGAGTGTCACGGAGACCCAAATATCTTCGGCGGAGGAGTACCAAGCCGGGCAACCAGTAGCGGCGAGCTCGCGGCGCACGGCCACCAGCACGCCGCCGCCGTACCGCTGCCCGGTGAAGCGGTAGTCGCGGTCACGCCGCCACACTATATACCGTTCATCAAAAAGTTCACTATCACTTATGCCATCTAATAGCCAAGTCTCCGTTATTGATATGATATCAAAGCTGCTTAAGGCCACATTTCTCTTAAATAAGCTTGTTTTAGTGCGTAGTCCCTGAGCATTTTGATAAAAAATATTAATAGCGAATTTTAGAGTACACAATCGTTACATTATATATAAAATTGGTTCTGATTTTGGTCTGGAATTCACAACAATCACCACTGCAAAGCGACATTGTTTTGCGAAAGCGAGTTGCAAGTAGAGCAATCAACAAAACGACGGCAAAAGCAAAGTTAAATAAGCGAGAACGGTAGTATCTCGTAGATATCGACAACCATTGAGTTATACAACACTAGAGGAGCAAACCACATTACCGCGCGTCGAAAAAAGTGTAACCACTATCCAAACGCGATGACGTAGCTTTGAAACTAATAACAATTTTATGTAAACATATATCTATCTCACTTACACAAGTTGTGAAAACCATATCGTCGTCGTAAGATTAGATAAAGATAGACACACAAACATGCAATGGCGGGTTGGTGTGACTTACTATATGAAATTTTACCTAAAATACAAAATAAATATGAGTTTTTTTTAAGCTGGAGTTAATTGTTTTTATATTAAAAAAGTATATTTTATTTTAAAATCTTTATTACGTCCCCTTAGAAAAAAAGGGATACAAAGCTTATCAGATGAATAGAAGTAAACATAATGATGAAATAAAACGTATTTTTATGGTTCTAATAAATCAAACAATATAAAATAGATATCTAATAAAATGTAATTAATATAAAATTTATATGAAATTATAAATAATATAAAATTATTAATATAAAATAGGTAATAAAATATATTTTATAGATAATTCATGAATAAACTAAAATAAGAATAATTAATTATTTTGTATGAAAGTTAAAACGTAGTTTTTATTATAATTTCCAAAATATTTAAAATCAGAGGTAACAAATTAACTTACTCCATTAATTATATAGTCTCCCATTAATGTAGGATAATCACAAATGCGGAAAAGTGGCAACATTGAACCTAAATGGCAATATTCGATAATTTTATTTAATTATTTGAGGTTTTTTACGTTTATATGAAAACAGGAACTAAAAATTATGTGTTGAAAGTGATGCCGCTTGATTTATTACGTTTTTGTGACCTTGAATAGCATTCTTTCACTACACATTTACCCATTTTTGTCGCGGCTCAACTCTGTCGGCGTCACATTGAACAATGAATTCACGTTAGCTAGGCATATGGCTGTGGCCATATGTGCAGTGGCAACGCTTTGGCGCGGTTATTACTGATCTAGGGTTATATAAATCATTGTCGACAACACGCAAACATTGAGTAACATTTTAAAAGCAAAATATGAGGTAAAAATAATATGTTCCACCAGTACATGCGGGGTGCAGAGAAATTCTACCTCTAAGTACATGCAGTTACGATAGCTATTAACAGAAGTGCCATCACTAATGACCGCCGCGTACAGGTAGTGAGTAATAGCGATAAGCAATACAAAAGAGTCAGGGCTTCCCGCGTCACGGGCGCAACAATCACAATATTTACGCGAGTTGAAATAATATAATCTTGAGCAATATGTCGTACAAGCATTTAGTAAATTGAAATATACACACTTTATGAATTTTATGAAAATTTTAGAAGATCTTTTTCTGATTTTATGCGGAACGTCGGTGATGTGTCGGATTTTCGGGCCAGAATCTTGCAATGTTTTATCCACACATATTTGAAGTTTTTTGTTTTCGCCAGATCCTTCGCCTTCTTAAGAAGAGCTTTATTAAATAGCGTGAGATGGTCGTTGACGTAAACATGGCCTTCATCGGCGTATCCCAGTTGGGAAACTTTGAGTTCCTTATGTTTACGCGCAGCTGCTACAAACTCTTCCTTGCAGTAACGATTATTGAGCGCCATGATTATGGACTTTTGAGACTCTGCTTTGAGGCTGGGAACTCGGGCAATATAATTGATGTCTTCTTTACGTATAGAGCACTGGATAACTTTACTGATATTATCCACAATATCGTATAAGTTCTCGGACTTTTTCACTGGAATCCCTTTTATTTCCACATTATTGGCCCGCGCCCATTGTTCCTTATCCTGTAGATCTTCTTTGAACTTTTTAAGGTCAGCTCCCAAAATGTGGATCAAATTGGTGTGTTCCTCAACTTGCGAAATTCTGGATTCCAGGGACTTCACCGTCACCGACAACTGGCTTGCAGTTTGGTGAGCAAATTCAACTGAGCTCTTAAGATTCGATATTTCAAGCTTAATGGTCTTTACATCTTCAATAAGTGACGCCAAGGGTACAAGTTGCTGCGTAATATTCACTAGGGTAGCCTGCATTTCTTCCAATCGCACTGCTATCCCAGGATTATTATAAGATGTTGATGCAGGAGACTGGGCAGTTTTGCAGTCAATACAGCGCCAGGTGGATCTTCTTTCCCCAAGTTTACGAAAATTGGTCTCTGTAATACCAGCACAGGCGAAGTCAAACTGGCGTTTACAAAATAATGGTAAATAAAATAATGTAATGTGTATTGTTATAATTTTGTTTTCTGAAAAACCTCTTGACTGCTCTCCACTGCCACTCAATTTGCTGTATATATGTCCCATCTTCAGCCACAAGTGGATTGTCTGGTTCCGAATGATTAACTTTTTTATGGGTGTATCTGTGTTAAAAAAATAAATTGACATATTTGCGTTTCGTTATATGCAATTTAATGAAATTTATTTTTATCGTATTTAATTCAAAAGGCATTTCCGAAATCCAATAACAGTGTAAAATGGTCGAGCTTAACCCTGAAAAACCTCCTAAGTTGAAAAAAAAATTAAAAAATCGAGTACTTGACGTCTTCTTCATAATATGACATCGATCACTAATAAAGAATTAGATGCACAATCCCATACAAAAAGTTCTCTAAAAACTGTCCCCAATTATTGTGACGTAACTCTAGTTGAAATAAATATACATTTATGTAAATTCAACCTTAAATACATTGCCTATAGTTGTATTCACAAAGATACGTACGAAAAGCAATAAATTTTTATGACTGATACTGGCTGGTCAACCTATATCAAAACAAATTCAACCTTACACGCGTGTTTTAAAGTCAGAATTACAAAGTGCTAGTAAAAAGGAATCAAATTTTACGACCGAAGCTCGTAGTTTAGACAAGGAATCATTAGAGTCGAACTGCCCAAAATTTTTTGTTACCGTTATTTTAATTTTAAAATGTTTCAAACTTGTTTTAAAAACTGGTGTACATAAAGCATATTCTATTTCTATTCTATGATGTATTATGTGTAATGGTTATAATTTACCTGAATGTAAATACGTTTTTGGATAGGACACCACATTAATTTAATAACGAAAGTACTTGAAACAGTCATAATTATTTATTTATTCTTCATCTTGTGTCACAAATTTAAAAATATTGCTTGATAAAGAACTTAAATCTAAATTCAATAGTTACTAAATATAAAAAGTATGTACAGAAAGTTTTAAGTCGTAGTTACATATTCATACTTTTTAAAACATGCTTCGAACATACAACGCTTCCTTGGGTCGGTTTGAAGAATTCTTCGGACCTTTGACATGCTATGACTGATATACATTGCACCTAACTGGATCTCGAGGAAAGTTTAAAAAATTAGAGAAAAATTAAAAATAAAATCTCACATCTTTAATTTTACTACATACAAAATCAGTTTCTACTATTGCACATATTCAGAATTAAATCTTTAATATGTTACTATAATATTTGGAGAAACTATAAAGAAGTCTCATTACACAAAAAATAATAATCATACTTTAATAATAAAAAAATAATAACGTCTCCAACAAATGGAACAGAGTCAACGAACAATTATGACTTATTTTATTAAGACTTAATTTAAAAAATGTTTTACGGAGATTTCTTGACAAAATATAAGTATTTACCGTACAGTGATAACAATTAAATAATGATAATATTAATAAGTAACGAAATTAGGAAATTCCATACTTTTTTTAGCGTCCTGGATGTGTGATTTTTACACTTTTTAAACGACCACTGAGGCATGTTTACCGTCGGAGTGTTCGAATGTAACTAGATTAAAAGCGCACCCAAATGTTCGAATGGGTGCTCATTTGGTGAGGTCGTTTTCTGTCACTGATTGTGTATCTAGTTTTTTATTAGTGATCGATGTAATATGAGAACAAATTGACGTATTTACGTTTCGTTATAAGCAATTTTTAGTGAAATTTGTGGTTATCGTAATTAGCTCAAAACGCATTTCCGACATCTAAAAACAGTGTAATAGGTTCAAGTTTAACCATAACAAGCCTCCTAAAATATGATAAAATCAAGTACCGGATATCTATAGCCAACTCGAAAATGCCATTAAAAAAAGAACCTTCGATGGAAAAACTTGAAATCTAACACACTGATGGAGGCAAAAATACGTATGTTAAAAATAAAGGAGTGGTTGCACTTTCTTTTTTTTTTAGGAGCAGGGGAAACGAACATACGCTTCACCTGATGGTAAGTGATTACCATCGCCCAACACCAAGGGAATTCCAGGCCTTTTAAAAAGGTGTAGACTCTTTTCTTGAAGATCCCTAAGGCTCGCCACACAATTCATACGGGTGTGTGACGGGTCATTGTTTTTATATGGACTTGCTGCATTCGGAATCCCGAATCGGATTCCGTATGTATGTGGAGGGCCTAAGTCGTATCGGTCCGGAAAAATCTCTGGTGGTAGTCGATTCCACTAGGAAGTTGTGCGAGAAAGAAAACTTCTTTTAAATCGCACAGTGGTGGACCGCTAGTCATCCTGATGGTATGGATGGTATCGCGAGTATTGTGGCCATGTGCGATAGTGAAATTGTGCGGCTTGAATTAGTCCGAACTATTCCTCATAGCACTCCCCGTGGTAAATGCAATGAAATACGCAAAGAGATGCAACATTACTTCGCATTGCCAGTTAGTTAAGCCGATCGGAGAGAGCTCGGTAGCCGACGATTCGAACGACTCTGCGCTGGATGCGATCAAATGGAAGGAGCTGGCATTGGGAAGCCCCAGCCCTGAGGTGGGAACAGTATTCCGTGTGCGGCTGAACCTGTGCTTTGTAAAGTTGCAAGCGGTGTGTCGACATGAAATACTGTGTAATGGCCGATCTGTTGAGCACGCCAAGCTTTTAAGAGGCCAATTTGAACTTCTCAAACTGGACTAGAATTAGTGGCCCCCGCTCAGAGATTTTGTTCAACAAAGTCTCGACTTTGGACGCAAGTTTGTCCCTTTACTCGGCGACGTTTCCCCTTGGCACGGCCGTTGTATAAAGCATCACCAGTGCTGTCGTCCGAATAGCAATGAATGTTACCAGTTTGTAACATATTATTGACATGCAGAAGAAACAGCGTTGGTGATAGCAGCAGTCTTGTGGAACACCAGCATTAATGGGCTTGTAATCGTCGGAGCTTGCACCGTCTACTACGACCTTGATTCTCCGATCTGCAAGAAAACTGGTGATCCAATTGCACAATTTCTCGGGAAGCCCATAAGAAGAGAGCCCCGTAAGAAGCGCTTTGTGCCAAACCCGATGGAAGGCCTTCGCTATGTCCAAACTAACGACCAACGCCTCCCCTTTGGGCTCTCCTGCCTCCGCCCATCAATTGGTTAGGTAACCCAGAAGATCACCAGCTGAGAAATTCCGACGGAAACCGGTCACTAATCAGCTGGTGATCCTCAAGGTACCTCATGAGCTGGCAGTTTATAATGGATTCCATTATTTTGGAGAACAATGAGGTGATAGCGATAAGCCTAAGCAATGGTGGTTTAAAACCATTAGTCTTATATTGTATCATTCATCTACAGTCCTTGTGCGGAAAATGTTTCGATATGCCTGAAGTTCTAAAATCAGTCATATCAGTTGTTAACTTCATCAGTTAATGGCTGTGAAAGTTACCATTTTTTGTCAATTCGACAAATCATATGAACGAATTGAATTTGAGATTGCAAGGAGAAAATCAGCTTCTCCCTGATTTGAATACCAATATCAAATCCTTTAGGCAGAAAATAATAATATTTCAATCGCAATTACGTAAAAGTGTTTCACACATTTAAAAAAAATGTGAAATATTCAGCCACGCTACGGAGATTGAGTTTCCCGTCGATTTTGCAATCAAAACTTTGAGTGCTTTAATGATAAATTTTGATACTCGTTTCTCAGACTTTAATGTTGCGAATGAAATTAACTGACATTGAAACCCTGGCTCCGGAAGTCCTAATGGAAATTCAAATTCACAAATATCAAAATTCATCTTTGTTGGAATTTTATAAGTCTTCCACTGGTACAATTTGATAATTTGCATAAATTTGCTCGTGGGTTGTTTTCTGTTTTTGGTACTACTTCCTTGTATGAGAAAACGTTTTCCAAGGTAAAGTACTAAAATAATGTTTATAGATCTAAATTAACCAATGAACATCTTAAATCTCTTTTAATAATTGATACAAGTAAACTCCACCGAGAATAGAAACTATTGTCAGTGGAAAATCACAATTACATAAATCACAATTACATAAATCCCATTAGTATTTTTTGTTTTATTGTGATTAGTGGGATTCATTTGAATTATTTGTTAGTTATTAATATGCTTAAGTTTAGATACTTAAGTTTTCTGCGTCATCATTTCTGTCGTTATGTTTTACCTTGCAAGTAAATAAAACCGAGTAATTATCATTTTGTGTTTTCTTCTTCAACTTATCACAGCAATAGTAACAACAATAGGACATTGGCTGCTGCGGGCCGGATTGATGGCACTGGCGGGCCGGATTTTGCCCTCGGGCCGTAATCTAGATTCTAGATTGTTGTTAAGTTTGAGAAATTTGTAACGACGTGCGAAGCACGTGCGCGCAGTATACTGTGTCTTAGATCGCAACTTTTCTCGTATGAAACTACACTTCCTTCACTTTATTCTCCTCCGTTTTGTTTGGTATTTCGTTATAATAACGGAACATTGTGGTATCACCAAAAACAACACTATGAAATTACTTTGGTGTCCATCCGTCTCCGTCTGTCGTAATTAAAAAACTAAGTTGTTTTTTTTGAAATTACATTTAGATACAAATTACATACTAATGAAACATAAACAATATTTTTTGATCTTATTGACATAATTGAAAAAACTGAATTGGTTATTTGAATAAAAAATCATGAGTGCAATTAGTTTAATTAAAATTTTCGTATTTTTAAAAAATACTTAAAAAAGGGCTCGAAATAGTAGATTTTCTCACAAAAAAAGGGAACTTGAAAAAAAAGAAAAAAATCGGAACGAAGACGGAACGCGAACCAAGGCATTACGATTTCGTGACCGCTCGATATCCACTTGAGCTATTACGATCATTAACACAGTGTCAAAATTTACTTTCTAATATTGTAGCCGTTTTTCATTGCCTGAAAACATGGACAAAAAGACATTTTCTAAAAGTAAATCCTAGCTAGATCGATTTATTGCCCCAAAAACTCCCTGGACACAAAATTTTATGAAAATCGTTGGAGCCGTTTCCGAGATTCCGATTATATATATAAAGAATTGCTCGTTTAAAGGTATAGGATTAAAAAGAAAATTATTTAAAACTTAGCGCGGAGATAGTGCGATGGCTCAGTTATATAATGTAATTATGCAAAGAACGGTAATTTTCGACATGGAAATTTTTTAAGGTCATTGTTTAGATGTTCAATGACTGTTATCCAATATAAAAAATAATTTGTTAGGGCCGCTGTGTTAAAAATTTAATATTTAAGAGAAACTTAAATCGCACTCGAAGTGATATTTGTTCATTAAATTACAGGTTACTGAACTACGTTATTCAATTCGTAATAATTTTTTTTATATTTTTGTTTTTGGTTATTTTAGGGAAAACGTTAAACAAAATGATGTGTTCCACTTCCATCATCTAAGGTTCTAGATAAAACGGAAAGTTTTTCCAAATTTATCCAAATCTTTAGAGAGGTTTCCAAGAAACAAATATCAGATATACAAAATTAGAATTACATGTATCAAAACTGCTCACTTTAAGTATTAAGATAAGAGTTGTGTGTGTTTTATCACGTAAAAATACATAAAAGTAACAATTACATTGTACCGGTAGTGCTGGCCTTGCAGGATGTCATTGGTCAATTAGTAACATCCGCTTTGATGCACGTTTGGATAACTCGGTAACATCTAAGGCTATGTTTACCATATTCATTACTCTGGACGTATACTTTTGTTGAAACCTTATTGAATTTCAGCACTCCGCGTTTTTGAATATGATAATCGTGTCATGGGGTTAAAGCCTGATTTTGCAATTTGGTTTCAACTAGTATATATAGGTATAATCTATTAAATCTGCATTTTTTATAGAATGAGGGTGACATACGAGCACACAGTCCACCTGATGTTACGTGGATTCTGTGGCCCACAGACATCTACATTTATCCTCGATTAAGATTTAAAACGCAGATGCGTTGTCACTCCTTAGGACTAAGATGGAATGCCTCGTTTCCAGTAAAAAAGGGCCTCCGGATTTCTACACTCATCATACGAAACACAGCAGTACTAAACTGCTATTTTACGCTGGTAATTTGTGAAATATACGGTATTAACATCAATGGCGAGTACATCACTCACCTTCGATTTGCCGACGATATTTCCTCCAGTATAGCCGCCACGATGCTAAGCGGGGGCCGCACTGCACATTCTGTTTTAAAACTCCTATAGCTGAAAATATTTATGCTATAATTATTTTTTTCTCAAGGGCAGGTGTTTAATTAGACAAATATTAAAAAATAATAATTTAAACCACTTTATTTCAAAATTAATAATTATTTCGATCGACCTATAAAATATTGACTTTATAAACAATAATTGCGGGCAATATTCCTTAGTAGCCGCTGAGCGGCTGTAGCGTTCAGACGTCTTGTCTGTGCCAAATTTTTGCACTTCCTCTCGCTCTAACATTCCTCTTTCTCTCTCTTTCCCTAATCTTGGTTGCGCATTGTTACGAATTGAAAGTTGCTCTACTTTATTATTTTTTTGCATATAATTCTTTAAGGGTTTATAAATCATTTTGTATTTGTTTTATAACTTTTAATTTCGATATGGACCATAAACGTAAAAAATATGCTTGTACCAGAAAACGAAAATTGAAATCAAACGTTGAAGCAATGAACAGAAATAGAATTCAAAGGTAAGTTTTTTTTGTGTTTCATAGTAAAATAGTTAACAACGTGCATATGTGTGAGCACTTGGTTAAATATTAGGTATATAATTAGGTAGGTACTTTTAAGAATAGTTTATAAATGAGTTGCATATTTGTAATGCATATAGGTAAATGCTATACAAAGTTACATTATACTTTAATGAGAAACTATAAATATGTGTGATAGTGGACTGTTTGTACTTATATAGAAATTATTTTGAGTTTTTTTTTAATCTATTTTAGTATTTAGAACTACTTGACGTACTTGACGGATTTTCGATAGTGTCATCGACTTATTACGAAACCCTCAGTGCACGACTCATTCTAGCACTTGCCAGATTCATTTGAATAATCAATAATACGAGTACATGTTATACATGTTCTAGATGATTATCTTTTAGAAACCTTTTCAACAAAACAACAAAAATTATACAAACTTAAAATATTTTTTTTTGTGTAACGAATTTTGTAATAAAAGCATGGAACAAAAATAGATACGAGGTAGAAAATCTGTATGTGAAAATTTGTTAGCTAATTATCAATAATCCTGTATATTAGATAAATTGATACTGGAAAATCTTAGTAGAGCAACTTTCCACGCTACGGCCAGAAAGATAACTGCGGTGGCGGTACATGAAGTGGCGGGGCAGGGAGGGTGTAGATGTGTCACCAGAACGCAATTTTTTCTGTAATTTTGCTCTGAAAGCTGGGATTTCATTAAAAACAAATAAGTGTAATACGTGATTGCATAAAAAATCTCACTTTCACTTCGTCACGAAGAACATCAATAATTCCTTTGCAAACTTCGGGTACAATTCTGGATATTATTTGGCTGGATATTCTAAATAGAAAATGGAGACATCTATATGTATTGCCTGTGGCCAGAAACCTTAACGTTACTGCTAAGCGAACTTTAATTGGAATAGCCTGTCTCCAACGTGTATTTTTCTTTGCTATTGCTGGTCCAATTTTCAATTCAAAATCGGAAGACGACATCCGACAGAAATTATCAAACTGTCCTGAAGGTTCGTGAATCAAGTCCGCTAGTAAATTCCTTCCTTCGTCGTTTCTGAAATAAGCAAAAGTATACAATCAATTTTTTTAAATTCATGTAGCTGTACATAATTTCTAAATGCATGGTATTAACAAATATTTATATCCACACTAATATTATTAAAGAGGAAAAGTTAGTATGTATGTAACGAATAAACTCAAAAACTACTGGATCGATTTTAATGAAATTTGGTACGGCGATAGTTGAAGCCCAAGGATTAACATAGGATAGTTTTTATCCCGGAAACGCGGACGAAGTTGTGGGAAACAGCTAGTTTTAAGTTTAAGTACCTAAATCAAGGACTTACTTTGTTCGATCAGCGTGCATTTTTATCATCCAGAATCGTCTTTTCTTTGGTTTCCTTTTTGTAACTGCAGCTTGATTGACCAAGTAATAATAATATGTGCTCAATGCATAGGCGTAAGTAGCCAGAGCAAGTAGGTTTTCGTCCGACATGACTGCTGCTGGTACATACTCGCAAGAGAATGACGAGTTGAGCTGCGGTCCAACCATCCAATGCTCTTGGCTATTAAGTTTGCCAAAAGGTGTTGGAGTTAATGTGTGGCCGCATTAACTTGGATACAATAATTAGCCATAAATTCGTAGCCAAGTTTGGACCCAATTTGAATCCAATGTGTGGCGCCGGCATAAAACATGCAGGAAGTCGATGGATGCAGGTGGCTCAGGACCGTACTTTGTGGCATACCTTGGGGGAGGCCTATGTTCAGCAGTGGACTTGTGAAGGGCAGTAATGATGATGATTATGATGATGATGATTCTGTGAGAGCGTGGTCCTTCCCCGGTCGAGCCGACCTATTCATGCTACAACCATAATATAGCTGCGGAGTGGCTCTACCATGTACAAAAGATAGAGAATAAAAAAGAGAGATGAAAAAAAATAAACAAACGGACTTTAGCGAGTGTCATTTCGACTGCGAGCTATTAGCAAAAGTAAACAAATAATTCGTATCACTGGATTTTTATCGCACACGCTATGACATCAGAAAGAGTGATTGTAGTTAGGTAATTTGTATTATTGGAAAACAGTCAACGCAACTCTAAGCACACCATCAATAGCTGCTTTCCAAATAAAATAAAATAAACATTTGTTTGGGCTGCTGTTTCATAAATTTAATATACAAGCGGAACTTGAATATCACTCGAAGTGATATGTGATTTGTCGGTACCGTATTTTGTTGGATTTGTTGACTTTTGTTGTTGATTTTTACTAAGAAAACAGTTTCGCGATAAATATGGTTGATTCTTCGAACTCAGAAAATTTTTCTAATACAAACCAGGCAACATTTGAAATGTGTTGTAATAAATTGATTGATGATTCTGATTATTGTTGTAACGATATTTTAGCTCGTCTCTCTAGTCTTGTTCAATTGACTTTCTTAAACACCAAACATGCCTGAAAGCCTTTCCGGCAAGCATCATTTTTTGAGAACGTAATTTCCATCACTTTCTAAGAACGTCGCTAATATGCAAATAAACAAAAAACATATGGCAGTAATTTCCGTATTTCTATATTTAAAGTCATATATGCATGTTACTACGATTTAAATTGCAATTTTAAAATTATTAATTGCAGATGACTATCTACTACTACGGTTCGCCCACAGCTGCTACTATGATCTGGAGAAAGCAAAGGCTGCGGCCGAACTGTTCTTCACCTATAGAGCAGACAACTCTTCTTTTATTACAGACAGAGACCCGCTATCACCGCATATGCAGAAGATTATAAGCATTATGTAAGTTTCATTATGATTTGTTATGTTGGTTATATATATATATATATATATATATATATGTGTGTAATCTGTTCTGTTGGTTATATATATAACTCAACTTTCGCTATATTATACTTCTTGTCTCGTACAGGTATTATTAAATGGTTAAAAGAACTTACCTTAAGTAAAGTTCAACCATAATTATACGAAGCTCCTTGTCCTAGACATTCTTAACAATTGTAATACGCCGTTTTTATGCCAGCATCACAATTTATCCAAGCTACACTGTATCCCTGTCCGTCAATGCAATTTTATTATGTTTAAAGCAAGGAATTAGATGAGCAACCCTAAACCAGGGAAAGTTGGGTCGGGAGTACCGTCTAGGACAAGGAGCTTCGTATAATTATGGTTGAACCATTTCATTATACTCTCTCCTTGTCCTAGACATTCTTAACAATTGTAGGTAGAAAAGGTAGATGTTTAAAAACGGGGTTGCGAATTTATAATAACAATGAATGGAAAATTTGCAATTTTCCTTATTTTATAAAAAAAATTTGATATCTTCAACATTTTGTCTGTATATTATCATAAATTAAATTATAACATAAAATAAATTACCTACCTTTATTTCATAACATTTCCTTATACACATAAGGCCAGCTTGATTGCAGCAGAAGTGGCCCTGTAGAAGAACTATGACTGAAAAAGAAAACAATCTGGAATATCTATTCCAGTTTAATTTATAATAAATTTTAATTTAACATCTTATAACTTAGGAAATATTTTTTTAAGTGGGTTCTTGTGATTTAATGTTAAATTTATCATTATCTTGTGTTCTGTTTTCTATTAAAATATTCACAAGAAAAGCTCAACCCCTTCTCATTTATTTTTTCACATGCAAACCCTGTTGAAGTGAAATTCTATCTATATCTTAACTATACATCTGAGCTCCCCTTTGAATAAATGTAACATTTGTTGAAGGACAATGTATGTATATTATAACCTGTAACTCATCACAGCTCAGCTTGTTACTAGTTAATAAAGTTAAGTTAGTAAATTTCTGTATTTTCAATATTTATTGCAATATTCTGTTGTTAAAAGTAACTTATTATTAAGTCTATTTTTATAACTCAAACCTAAGTAAAAGGCACAAAAGCCCAGTAAGGAATTTCATTACACTTACTACAATTTGGTACTATAGAGAATTAATAATTTTATTATTTTATAGTATTTGACAAAGGAGAGTTCACTATAATTTTAGTATGAGTTTTGGAGTGAATTTTAGAGTGCCATATTTTACGAAATGCCTCACTAATAGTAACCTATGATGTGTATGAGGTGTCTATGAGATGACTGTAACATGACACAGTAATATGATTATCTGTAAGGCAGTGTTAATAATAATTTGTTATTTTATTTCAAATAAATAATTCATTTTTTTTCACATTTACTGCCCATGTGAAAAAAACAAAAAATTATGGTTTTTTGACTCAAATTTTTGTTTTGACAGCTTAAACATTAGAGGGATTTGTATAAATGTAATACATAAAATATATATGTAAGAATTGTCCCCCAATCTAATATAACTGCCATGCTTTCTGGGTCATGCCTACAGAAACCCATTGTTCTGTATATATAATTTATTACTTTTTATTTTATTTTTTTTTCTCGTTACTAATTTGATCATTTTTAGTTTTTGACACTGCTTTATGATCTTATTGAATAGACTTGAAAGACTTCCTCTGAATGTTCTTTGTTTACTTGGCTCAATTTTAGATTGTATGTTTAATTTACATATTTTTATTTAATTTAAAGTATTGAATCCTCAATAATTAATGAATGGAACCCTCTCTATCCAGTTAATATACGAAGCATGGGTTTTATCAACTCTGAGTAAAATTGTACACCATAAGTATTATTTAGTTGTAAGTTTATTGTTCATTATAACTATATTGTTTTGCTTAAAGTTTTTGTATTGTGTTCCACAATTTTCAAAATTATAAGCATATACTACTTTCATATCCAATAATAACTATGTAATTTTCTCTCAATGAAGGACTAAGACCCAAATTTTGTCTCATTCCATTGGCTTCTCTCCATCCAGTTCAGAAGTGTCAATTATATTTCAAACAGTTTATGCGTTTAATAATTTTTTGCATTATATTAACTACCATCTAAGGTCAGAAATTTGCCACTGAATATATATTATATTACATTACATATACATTATTATATATAATAAGGTTTAAAGCACAACGTTATTAACCTCATTTTACTAATAGCAACCTAAATGGGTTATGCACAAATATATCATAAATTTTTTATAAAGTTCTTAAGTATTTTTACATAATTTCCTCTTACTACAACAATTTTATTTTTATTGCTAACATATTTTGGTAATCAGTTGTATGCATCTGTCACTTTTTTGTTATTTATATGATTAAAAGTTTTCAATTTTTTTTTTCATTAGTCTTCCTATTACTCATTTTTAACTTGTCATAACCTTAAATAAGAAGATGAAGTGAATTAAAAGTGGTACGTAATAAATATATAATAATTTCATCATTATGACGATGATGGTGTTCTGCCGAAGGGTGTGTATGTAGTATGTATGTGATCTGTGATATTGAAGATTTTCAAAAACCGGCTTGTTTAAGAGACTTGAGTCGATTTTGGTCTCGAGACGACAATTAGATTCTAGTAACAACTATCATATACAGCACATGCTGTTGCTCTTCACATGGCGCTGTCATCTCGGTCCGATCCGATAACCGATCTTCGCTTCTTTCTTGTTATTTTAATGTTAATTAGAAATAACGACAAAAGATATTTAAACGTACGGAAACTTATTTTTCCTTATAGTTTATATTGCACAATGTGATTTTACGAAAAACTCATCCAGGCAGCTGAACACTTATTTTTAATGAACATCTATATGTAAAGCGCAAGTCTGGATGTGAATTGTTGCTGACTCTTATACTTAGCTTTGGACTCCTCGAAAACCTCGTCTTTGCTGATACTAATCCTGTAATCCTGGAGCACAAGCAGAATAGCCATACTCTCTTTATTCTCCTGGATACATTATGGAGTGTGATGCAATGGGATAAACTTTGTTTAGATTAAATTAGAAGATCAATGTGTTCCGTTTATCAATTCCATAACTTTCATTCTAACGTAAGTTTCCTCGCTTGACGTTCAGGTTTGCATCCGCAATTTTTAATTATAATGAGCTGTTATTAAGAAGATACTGCCGCGATTTTCCTGCTTCAGGTTTCCTTATACGCAAACTTCAATTTTATTAGAAGTTTTATTTCAAGCAAACTTTTAGATTATAACGCGTTCTTTTTTCGAGGTTTTTTTTATAGAATAGGGTGATGAACGTGCACACAGTCCACCTGATGATAAGTGGTTGCTGTGGCCCATAGACATCTACATATTATATCCTCTACTACGAATCAAAATGCAGATGCGTTGTCACCCGTGAGGACTAAGATGGAATGCCTCGTTTCCAGTAAAAAGGGTTTTCGGTTCTCTACACTCACCATACGAAACACATCAGCATTAAGCTACTATTTTACGCTGGTATTCTGTGAGAGCGTGGTCCTGCCCCGGTCGAGCCGACCCATTCGTGCTACACCTATCCTACACTACTATAACTGCAGCATGGCTCTACCTCGTAAAGTACAGTATTCACGTAAAGTACAGTATCCACGTAAAGTATCTTGTCTCTTAATTTTTCGTTGACTTTTTAACAGGAAAAATCACAAGATGCTAGGTTAGGGGTAAATGATGGGTGAGGAAAGATGGATACATTTTTGAATAAAATTTGTGAGTTCTGGTAGACGTGTCGCGGCACTATGTTGTCGTTATAATAAAATAGTGATAAGTGACTTCGGTCGCTTTTCTCATCAATTGTCACGTATCACTTGGAATACTGATCTTTTTTGATCCTCTATCACACCAACAGCAAAATAAGATCAGTTTAGCTTCTGTGTGCTTCGTAAATAGCTACATTTCGTTGAATTGAACTTTGCTTCAAAGCACCACTACAGTTGACTGAGATTATGTTACATAGCCATGTTTCACCTTTAGTCAGTATATCGTAAATGATCGTTTTTTTCTGTCCTGCGTCGATTTTTTACTACGCTCGTCTGTACCGTACCGATCTCGAACAACGCAACGCTGAGAAAATTGTTCGCGAATGATAGATTGCATTCCTGCTAATCTTAACAATTCTTGATTAAGGTGTATATATAATCACATAAAAACTTATTTTAATTCGAGTATACAAACATTTTCTTGAGTGCCCACAGTTGTTTGTTTGTTTCCCGCCCTCTTTTAAAATCAGCAAACCAATTACAAAGACATTTGTTTGTTATCAAACAGATTTACCAATTAAGCAAAAAGCTCATAAAATTATTGGACCTTTAAACCATTTTTATTTTCATAGAGAAAGGAAAGCTGAATACGTTGAATAATTGATTAAGCATATGCCCTGCAGAAATGAGTGGCAGAGTCCGCAAGGTACGTCCTAGACAGAAGTTTATCGACTAAATTGGCGATATATTAAAGATTACTTAGTCGTCACTAGATCTAATATGAAGCGCCCTTCACTTTGCTTACCGGTACGAGGCTGGCGTTCCAGAACCTTTCTTCCCCATCGGTTGCCGCTTCATGGAGCTATATGTCCAGCCAATTGCCATTTCAGCTTACTGATACAATCGGCTATGTCGGTTACTCTGGTTCCACTGCGAATATCCGCATTACAAAGTATTTCACTCTGAAAATTTTGTTTCCTCGATAGAAAAAAATTGCATGAATAAGTTCATGGGATTATTTTAAGGCAAAATAAATAATCATATCTAAAGTTCTCATAAACCATTTATTTATTCCATAACAAAGTTTTGTTACAAAAATATATGTTGTTTGTCGCTTACGTAGGTTATTTACGAGCGCGTGCTCGGTGTAGCTATCTCACAATTTGCGTATTATGAATTCATTGCATCACTTTCATTTTGACAATCCAGTCGTCCGTGAGCTTCACTGACAAAGGGATAAGCCAAACCCCCAAAACTACGATTCATTTTCAAGGTATCCTCTTAACCTCTGAGCTACAACGGCTCCTCCAATATATCAAACCATAATCTTAATGGCAAATATCATTTATAATATATGTTAAGTAGTGAATTTTTATACGCTGTAACGAATGGATGGATGAAACATTAGGCTTTGCATTTTAAACGTTTTTTTATACTAAAGAAAAAATTTCGCAATTATAATTTGCAGCTGCTTCTCTTCAACAGTTATATATATTAAATCTGGTGATATTTTTCTTAATACACCTAGTAAAATCTTATTCTTCTTTTCCAGAAATATTGGATATCTCAAATTATCTGGAAAAAGAAATCTGTGGATATACCAAATAAACGATCCTGGATTAAATATATATGAGTACATGCTCGATGTAAAACTATTTTTTCTGGCTACGGACGCGTGGTTGCTCTCTAACGACGAGCTTGAAGAATCTGACATCGTTATTATGGACGTGAAGGATATATCACTAAAGTTTCTCACAAAATTCAACATGTCTGTCGCAAAAAAAATAGCTAAATATCAGCAAGTATGTTATTTTATTTCAACGTTAAGTATATTTAACATAACTTCTGACTTCTTAAAACATATTTTGTGTCATCAACATTATTATTATCTATTAGCTCATATGAATACACAATTTTGTGATAGAATTAGTACCTAAATTTGATTTAGGTAGTAAAACCAGGTTGAAACTGTATTTATTTTGACTACAGCTAGTGCTGTAGTAATAACGGAATCAGCACGAAGGAGTTTGCTCGTCTAGTGATTATACTACGCTAACATAACACAATCGTTGAATATCAGAATAGCAGCTATGCTTTGTGGCGGAGTTGCGGTCATCATTTCTGTATAAAATTATTATTTATTTAAAACTTCATATACACACTTAGTATGCTTTGTATATGGGCGAACATAACGCCAGAGGCATTCCCTACCAGTCCATCTTTTCATAAAATTTAACATATAATTAATTTGTATACTCAAATGAAGATTTAATTACATTGCTAAAGCTTTTGTGTGAATTTCAGGAGGTGGTACCGACAAGGCTTAAACAAGTGCATATAGTAAATACGCCAGTAGTAGTGGACACAATCTACGGTGTTATGAAACCGTTTTTAAAAAAGGAATTAACCGAAATGGTAAGCCTGAGAATATGTTCTATTCAGCAAAAACAATATGGAGTATAATCTATATCAAAACTAGCGTGGTCTAAAGTCATAACTTTGTGATTTTGATATTCCTATTTGTTTAAAACATAGATTATCTGTGGTTTAAAATCACTAAATTCTCCTACTATCGAAGACTCGTTGCGCAAACTAAATGTTAAGAAAGCTTAATACGAGTACCTATATTACATTTTTATTTAGGTATTTATAAAGTAATCATATCTGCTTGGGCGTAATAAATATATAAAAGATAAATATACATAAATATACAATAAATATACAAACATAAATAAATAAATAATCCATAAATAAATAAAAGCCCAACCAAATGGAAGACCTCGGTTATCTGTTTTAAGGCGACAGTAGCCTAATGGCAGGGCGCGGACCGCGAACTCAAAAAGGTCGTGGGCTCGAATACATCATTAGACTACTACTATTGGCGTGAACTACTCGTAACACAAGCAATTTATGCTTACCACGAGTGGTTAAGGGGAATATTAGTAATCTTCATAGCATTGTTAATATTCTTTATATAAAAAAATGTAGATGCGTTATCACCTATGAGGACTAAGATGGAGTGCCTCTTTTGCAGTAAAAAAGTTCTCCGGTCCTCTACACTCACCATACGAAACACAGCGACGTTAAGCTGTTTCGAATTTTTCAATTTCTAAAACTTTATTACGAATACATAAGTGTAATTTGTCAAACTGAGAGTCTAATAAATTATTTTTATGGGCTATTTATATAGTTTTCTCATCTGGTTGGGCTGTGCATATAAATGAAAATGATAAATATACATAAATATCAATAAAATAAAATAAATATATAAAAATACATAAATAAAAACCTAGTGTTAGGGGAAAGGGAAAGGAACTGGCGATAATGCGGGCAGTATCGAGGAGCACCGCCTTCTGTATTTGAGCACGAAGCGGTCCGTCATTGATTCTCAGTCGCCTCACATGACCTGAGAGGCTAGCCGGGATTAGCCCGTTCGCAGAAACGACCACAGGAATAATTTCAGTCGGTAGACCACCTCACATGTCGGTCATCTTGTGAGCCAGGTCTTTGTCTGCTTATCTGTTTCGACTTTCACGAGGTTCTCGTCATAAGGAATGGTAATATCGACCAAAATTTATATGAGTAATATTATTCGACCTGGAACTTTAGCTGTTCATTTAACTGCTAATATAATTGCAGGACTTTTATTTATATTATTATTTTAACTTTATTAAGAAGAACTAGCTCTATATAATTTATCATTTTTTATATCTATTATTTATTTTAATTTTTTACAAATTTTACTTTCTGCTGTTGCTGTTATTCATTCTTATGTATATTGGTCCATCAGCACAATAGCAGGCATGAATAGTCCTGTCTATGATGATGGCCCGGTCCCAGTGGTCTGGCGCTATAACAAGGCACTATCGTATCCACTAGATGGTATTTAAGAGCGAGCTTCTGGTGTAGAATCCTGGCTACTAGGTTGTGCTGTGTAAATACTCAGAAAGCGCCGAACAACCGGAGATGACATGCCTAAGTGACTCACCGGGATGGAGACATGCTCGATAAATATCGACGGTTTAGGAGATATTTCCGATAGTTGTTGATCTTAATAACCTGATCCTGTATCGCGCAGACAAAACCATTGGTTTCCCCAAAGAGGTCACCGAAACGTAGCCAGTAGAGGGAAGGGACTGTATCTGCGAAAGGCTTATGTAGAGATTTGTAGAACCTCCGGTGGAGCTTCTTCTCTTTCTATACGGTCTACCGGTCGTAAATGCACTGTACAGCTGGGTCTTGCCATTGCTCATTAGCTAAGGATAGATGAGTAATCCATTTATCACACGAAGTGACGATCCTGTAGAATCGATCGTTCGATCTCGCCAGGAAGTAATTACGGAGGCTGCACACTTCGTGATTATGCACGTTAAGAGCACTCAAAAACCTACGTCCACCATGCTTTCGCGGCAAGTACAGCCTCATTACCGACGATCTCGGATGATGCAGTCTATGGGACGTCATGATAGTGCGGACTTTTCTATCCAGGGAGTAAAGTTTAGTCTGAGTCCACCTGAGTATGCCAAAGGTATAAGATGAGGGCAGGCATTACCCAACCGTTATATGCGTATATCTTATTCACACCGGTGAAAAGGCTGTTAAGCACTTTGGTATGGTGATATTTTTGTGGTGAACCGAATATATTATCTAAATCGAATATTTGGATAATATGTTTGATTCCTCAGTTGCCAGAAAAAATATTTCGCCAACTTAAGGTCACTACGTACTCTTAACCTCGAACTCTTACCTTAATCAGCAAAATATATTAAATTATTGGCTACAACACGCAGGTCGATGTATATCAGAGAATATGATAACAATTATGTAACTGTTATGGAAATAGGTACTACAACAACCAAACTGTATAAATGTAACAAACTTACTGGTTCAGATCCGTGCATGTACCTACTTGTTTTGCGACGGCACGCAACGTGGCTCCGAATCGGCGACGAGCACCACTGAGTTTCATGAACATAGACTTTAGATAGCACCTCTGTCGAAGATCGGTCTACTGCGAACTTTTAGCCTTCGCGTGCTCTTACCCCGAATGACTACGGTTCTAACCGATTTTTACAGATGCAACCTTCACATGACTTCGACTTAGAGATCGTAAAAATGATTCTTTGACCTTTACAGATTTATTTTCATCAGCCAAAATCTCAGACCCTATATAAATATCTAGATAAAGAAGATTTGCCAGAAGACTACGGTGGAACGCGTCCTAAAATGGAGGAATTGAATAAGAGCATCGTGGAACTTCTAATGAAATACAGGTTAACCACTACCTATGTGGTATTTTATACTATACAATAATTAATATGGTATTTGATAGTATCAAATTAAATTAGTTCGGAATATGCCATTAGTAAATATATGTAGTATTATAATACTTGGACTAATAACGTACATATTATGTGTTTAAATATTATTTTTGAATACTTAAAACCAAAGAGTATATAATCACTACGTTTGTTTTGCTTATAGCAGTGATAAACGAGCATAGTCCACCTGAAAGTAAGTTAATGCCACAGAACACTATTACACATAGTGATTGTATACTCATTGACTATTCCTTTATTACTATTTATACGCGGTGGCGCTCTTAATCTGGAATAAAAGGTGGTCTGTGTTTTCGTTTATCACCCTTATTCTATAAAAACTCTACCGAGAAGTTTATGTTTTGGCCTAATGACACAACGTACTTTGTACTATTGTAATTTTATTATAGAACATGATTAAGAATATCGTATATCTGCGGAGTTTCCTTCGCAGTTTTTTTACCGGACAGTGGAACCTCATTTAAACGCTACTAAATTGCTAAAAATGTTGACGTTTGAAACACTAAATTTTAATTTCTTACGTCCAAAAGTAAATTTGTCATTTCATTTCACTATTAACTGTGACACCATAAGTCTATCTATCTTCAAATTAAAATACACCCTCGTTGACCAACCCTATAGACTAAAATGGAGACTCTCTAATCTATCTAGATGACAAGATCTCGAGACCATTACCAGTAAACAGAGTCTCTCATTCACCAAACTTGTTCACGAGCGAGTTCATCAAGACTTCAGCTTGATGTATTTGAGACAAAGCTGGTGAGTCATACTTTAAGGGGAAATATAACCTCAAATGGCTTAGCAAGATCCTTCGTTATGCCGAAAATATTGCAGTATTAATTTTGAAATAAATATATGGTAAAGTTGAGGATTAATTTTAAGGACTATGTTAGACGAAAAAAAATCCAAAGTTACCTCCAAAATAAACAATAAATATTCATAAAATACTTTAAATAAGATCATGAAACTTTGCATACTAACTGAACTAACTATAAAGCAGTGTTTATTTTATTTAATTTTTTTAAAATACCATTATTTTCACTGTAAAAAGAAATTACCTAAACTATCGGCATCTTGAAGCTTGATTCCTGTCGTGTCGCCCCGCTAGTATCACTCTGGCTTTTGAAGGGAGAAGTTGTGTCGCTTACGATCAGAATATACATTACGCAACAGGACGACGTAAAATTAAAATGGGAAATAACCGTGATAAAAATAAGAAGCGACTGGGTTGGCGTTAAGAAACAGGCATAAATATGATAAACCTAATGAAATAAGTATCTAATGACCTATCTACTTACAGAGAGTTATTAGTGATTACAAACATATCGGTACATAGCATACGACGCGCGGGGAAGTGGGGGCGAAATTAGAATTTGAGCTGACTTACTATATCCCCTTAAATATGATTTATTAAGTGGCGGTGTAAGAATATCCCCTTCCCCATGTCATCCCGAGGATGTAGTAAGAGGCGTCAGAGAGAAAATGAAACAAGTGATGGACAGCAATATATCCCTGATAATAACTCAAAATAATAAATGCTGCGGTTGCCAACCCGCTAGCAAAATCCACCCATGGGGCAATTTATAAGGGAGGCGTATCTTTAGCAGCGAACTTTTATAGGCTGTATTTGTCTTGTGTCAATAGATAATAAACTATTGCATCTTGACTTGGGAAAGTATGACCAAGACAAAACAACTTGAATACCGTTTTTTTTACTATTAAAAACCAGTGTTTGACTATTATCACTTTTGGTGGTAAAGGGTGATCCAGCCGAAGATGGTAAAGAGACAACCTAAAACTTAAAGAGACTTAGCCTAACAAGAACTTAAGCTTAGCTTAACTTAAGCTTTTGTCTTAGCGTATTCACTTTGCCTTGGACACACCTACATTGAAATTGGATGGAAATGCAAATGCTGACAAATCATTCCATTTCTTTGCTTTGCGTAACACACAATATTATAATTATAAGTGATGTCTTAACACATTAAGAGATAAAATTCTGTGGGATAGTTTGTTGAATAATTTGGGAAAATCTGCCCCAAATATAAGGCAATCTGTGAGATAGACTTATGTTCAGCTGTGGACTGGTGTGCTGTATTAAATAATGAACGAATGGCAATATATCGATTATACAGAAGATAAAAGATAAAATTATAACCTTTGTAAAGGGTTTTTCAACAAGAACTTTATTTTCTAAAACAAAATAAAACAAAGAGTTTAGATGAAGATGATTCAAATGTTTATTGTATTACGAAGAGAAAACTTTGGCAATTATGAATGAAAAATGATATCTGGCAAATGTCCACCACGCTGACAGATGTCGATTCTTTCATCAAAGTTTTTAATCACTTTTTGGCAAAATGGCGGGTCTATTTCGTTAATCACGTCACGGATTTTGAGTTTTAAGGCCAGGTTCGATTCGATTGGCTCCGTATAGACTCTGTCCTTAACATAGCCCTACAAAAAATAATCCAGTGGTGTTAAATTACACGATCTGGCTGGCCATTTAACAGCTGAATTTCGTGAAATTATGGGATCGGGAAATTTAGTTTGCAATAAATTGATCGTTTCGTTGGCTGTGTGACATGTGGCACCGTCCTGTTGAAACCACATGTTTGTGATATCGATTTCATCAATAATAGGCCAAAATTGAGATGTTAACATCTCGCGATAGCGTGATCCATTGACCGTTACCGCATTTCCGGCCTCATCTTCGAAAAAAAAAACGGCCCAATCACGCCTCCAGACCACATAGCGCACCATACAGTGACACGTTGAGTATGCAAAGGCTTTTCAATAATCGCTTCAGGCAATTTTGCTTGTTGACGTACCCTGACAAGTGAAAATGGGCTTCGTCTGAAAAAATGATTTTTTCAGAAAAACCAGCGGGCTGTTCCTGAATGAATTGAGCGAATCTACGGCGATGTGAAGTCAGCCAAAATTGCTGAGAACGTCGAGGAATTGACAAATTTGGATCTTCTTCAACACTGTGGCTCACGGCTGCGATGTTTTCGGTTGAACGACCCGGTCGAACACGCGTTGGTGTTGGCACATTTTGTACCGAGCCTGTCGATTCAAATTTAGCGACCAAATTCTTAATAGCGGTCTCAGAAGGACGATTATGTTGTCCGAAAATATCACGAATTTTACGATACGTGACTTTAACAGAACCACCATTTTCATAGTGGATTTTAATTATTTTAATGCGATTTTTGAGCAAAATTGAATTCATTGTAGCAATTGCCAAAGCATCTACTACGAATAGGTCCAAAAAACTAAATGCCAAAACTGTCATGTTGTTGGTGTTGCCCCAATTGAAAAACAAAGTTCTTGTTGAAAAACCCATTATCTTATGCGAAACCCAAGTAAGAGTCAACCTAGAATGTTTAATCATCGTATAAAATTATTTTTAACGTAAATTTTTGGTTTCAGGGAGCGTTTAAATGAGAAACTTTGGGTCGCGCTTGACAAGAAATCAAAGAACAAAAGTAATGAAGAAAAAAGTAGTACAGAATCTTCTACATTCCGGTCTCTTGGCATAGATTAGGATTATGGGGCTTGTACAATTGTCTTATTTCTATAATAGAATTTATTTTGTTTGTAATTGGTTTATTTAAGCTTTATATTTTGGTATTAAAACTATGTAATTTTGCTTATTGTTTCCATTTTGTTAAAATTACCCGTACTTACCAAATGACATTACTTTTTATTTTACTCTTGAGTATAAACTTTGAGAGTTTATAATACTCAAAATACATATTGCATCTAATTCTGCCTTTGATCAGCACACACTCTTTGGAGAGATTTAGCAGGAACTTGACGACTGGTGGATAACTGTTCTTGTGATATCGTATAAATAATTGTTTGAAGTGGATTTTGATCTTAAGCTATTCCGTCCCGACAATATCTTTATCGACTGTCTCCTGTGATTTTTTTTATAGAATATGGGTAGTAAAAGTGATCACAGTCCATCTGGTGGTATTTGGATGCTGTGGCCCTTAGACATCTACATCTATCGTCGATTAAGACTCAAAATTCAAATGCATTGTCACCCTTGAAGACTAAGGCTAACTTTCTTATTTATTATATGGCACACAATAACGCTCAATGAATATTCGTAAAGAAATTGTGCGTCATGTGGTGAACAATTGGTATGAATTTGCTGTTATGTCACGTAACCGTCATGGCAACAATCATGGGACAAAAAAAACTTATACATTAGATATCTTACAGCACTAAAGCGGTTTCTGCAAGTTAGTTTCAGCCAGTCAAATATACCCATTTGTATTTGAAGAGATTTTAAAAATTTGGCACAGAACACCAACTCATCAAAAGGTTACGTTTTCCCCAATATTTTTCTAACGGTCACTTTGATACCTACGCCGATTTCGATGGTGATAATACCACTGATGAGCGTCCAATAGTCAAAACCCGACGCATTGAAATGGCCGTATCACCGACGTTTACTCAACCTTCACCAATTTCTAATGTTGTGCAACAATTTCATTCGTCTACTTATTCTTCTTCTTTGTCCACGAATAATTGCATGGAATCTCAAACATTCACTACCCAAGAGTCAGTCCAAAATGAAATAAGTTTGACAAATGAGTCACAAAAAATAAGGCAGAGAAACGCAGGACTAGGGTTACCAATGTAGTAAGGAAATTGCAACTTAATGAAGCAAGAAAAAATATAATCAAAATAAACCTTGTAAACATGCAGCTAATTATCAGAAAAAACACCCTAAAGTTCACAGGCAGGCTGTCGTTGATTATCAGCGCGAACACGCTGAAGTACATAAGCAGGTTGCAAGTAAATATCGGCGCAAACACCTTTAAGTGTACAGAGTATTGCAGTTACAATATAAACGAAATCATGAAGGACAGCGAGTTGAAGGACGTTTACAAACTTGGAATTCTAAAGCCTTTTCTGGACTGAGTTATGATAATAACATAGCGTACGATAGTGATAATACTATTGTTTTGGGACCGATGAACATTGAATGCAAGTGGTGTAAAACTCTCAAATATAAGGATGAATCTGTGGGAATGTGCTGTGAATCAGTAAAGGTCCAGCTCGAACCTTTGCAAAAGCTTCCAGATCTTCTTTAATGTTTTTTTTAAAGAATAATTAACAATGCTATAAACATTACTAATATTCCCCTTAACCACTCGTGGTAAGATTAAATTGCTTGTGTTACGGGTGGTTCACGCCAGTAGTCGAATGGCGGATCCGAACCCACGACCTTTTTGAGTTCGCGGTCTGCGCCCTGCCATTAGGCTACTGTCGCTTTATATGTTTGATAGAAAACCTCCCCCCTGAGCACGATCAATCCATGGCTGGCATACGGCATTATAATAATTGTTTTCAAATGACCTCATTTGCAGCTAAAAATACAGGATGGTTTTATGCCTTTTGTTGGTGAGGACGATATAGAAGTTCAATTGATATGCTATAACTTTCTTAATGTAAAAGCTGGTATGGTAAGGAAATTACAAGAAATGCTACATACTCATAATGTATACGTAAGAGAGTTAAAGATATCCCTAGACGAAGTATCTGCAACGCTGAATACATTTGAAGTTGTTAGAAATGCTGCAAGAAACACTAAAAATGGTTACAGCGGACGGTATAATCAACTTACGTCAAATGGGGATGCTTCAGTTATTGTTGGACAGCAATTATCTAAGCGGGATATTGTAATCGAGAGTAATGATAAAGTATTACATCGAATAAGTGAAATCCATCGCTCATACGATGCATTACCTTACCCACTTTTGCTTTCCTACGGCGAGGATGGATACTCAATTTATTGGGTCCTTACATATGTAATTAGCGTTTTGTCATACCTACTGATCACTTTGATCTGAAATATCTCCTCTTCGGTTAAGAAATCAAATTCAAATTTATATTTTGTTTCAAATTGTTTATAGAAGAGGGGGCAAACGAGCATATTGTTCACCTGATGTAAGTGGCTACCACAGCCCAGACCAACCGCAACACCAGGATAATTGTAGGTGCGTTGCCGGCCCTTTAGAAAGGAGTAAGCTCTTTTCTTGAAGGTCCCCAGGTCGTATCGGTCCGGAAAAATCGCGATGGTAAATGATTCCACAGAGAGGTCGTCTTACTACCTACTCAAATATTTATATTAAAACAAAAAGAAAAAGCTACTTATAGTGGAGTGCCTCGTTTCCAGTAAAAATATTATCCGGTTCTTTACACTCAGCATACGAAACGCTATTTTGTGAGATCGTGGACCTTCTTCATCATCATCATCATCACCACAGCCCTTCACAAGTCCACTGCTGAACATAGGCTTCTCCCAAGTAATGCCACAAAGCACGGTCCTGAGCCACCTGCATCCATCGACTTCCTGCATGTCTTACCAGGTCGTCACTCCATCTAGTGGGGGGTCGCCCTACACTTCGCCTACCGGTACGAGGCTGCCACTCGAGAACCTTTTTTACCCAACGGTTGTCGGTTCTTCGACCTATATGGCCGGCCCATTGCCACTTCAGCTTACTAATCCGTTGGGCTATGTCAGTCACTCTGGTCCTTCTTCGTTCGAGCCGATCCATTTGTGCTACATCCATAATATAGATGCAACGTTGTTCTACCACGTAAAGTTATAATGAAAAATATCCTCTATACCTATGTTGATTTCTTCAATTTCTACCTCAGTCAATGATATTGCTCCACCATAATATAATACCATATCTAAAACTGGAGTGACAATCTAGCACACAGTTCACCTGGTAGTGGGTGCTGTGGCCCATAGATATTTCCACGTATCCTCAATTAAGTATCAAAATATAGATGCGTTGTCATCTTTGAAGATTACCATGGATTGATCCGTTTAGGTTTTTTGTCTTGTTAATGAAATACACGCTGCTGCAGTCACCAGTAAAGTATTATTATCCACATTATTATTTATTTCCATTCTGTACAACTACCAAGTTCGAAGTGACGCCATGCGTCCAAATGGAAGTATCGTCAATGGTACCGTATCTGGATACATTTTTGTTTGGAGTGCATCCATTTGGAAGTCTACTAAATGGACGTATCGTCAGTGGGTACCTTAAGTGTAGAATTTCGGAAAATCCTTTCTTATTGGATGCCTACGTCATACAAAGAACACACCCTACAAGTTTCAGGTCTCCATGAACAGCGGTTTAGGCTGTGCGTTGATCCGACAGTCAGTCATTCAGGACAAGGCATTTTATAGTATAGATGAAAAACTATGTTACCCACACGAGATAGATTAAACACGAGAGTGGGTTATTCCGTAACTTATAAAATCGATATTTTGTGCATTTTCATCTATCTTATTCTATATTATATATTCTTACATATAATAATGTTAAAAATATAAATTGCAGGTGACTGTATATTGTATATTATTCTTGTAACAAGAATGATTTAGGGGGACTAAAAATAAGTAATTAGGGGAAGCCCGAGCATAACGCAAATGTTTAGGGATACTATAAATAAAACCACAAGCTTATAATCAGTAGAACTCTTTATACTTTTAATTTGTACTATGATTAATAATATTTGAAAAAATATAGCATAAATTAAACAACTCAAACGATTTCTAAAGTAATTATGAACATTAACAAAAAGTATAAAATATCCGTTTGTCCCAAGGGCAAAAAGGATAATTATGTTAAATTAGTTAAGATCAGTCTTCACATTCATCACAGAAGTAGCTGCCTTCATACGCCATGTTTAATGTCAAGTACCTGGATGACCTGATGGTATTTTTTTGGAAATCGTGTTTTTTGGAAATATATTTAGATACAATTTACATACTGATGAAATATGAATAATATTTGTCGATCTTACCGACATAATGAAAAAAACTGAACTGGTTATTTAAATAAAAAATCATGAGTGCAATTAGTTTAATTTAATTTTTCGTGTTTAAAAAAAAAACTTAAAAAAAGGCCTCGAAATAATAGATTTTTTCACAAAAGAAGGGAACTTGAAAAGAAAGGAAAAAGAAGTTGGACCTAAGACAACTGGAATCGAACCGGGGTACCACGATTTCGTTGGACCCGTTTCCGAAGTTCCGATTATATATATATATATATATATATATATATATATATATATATATATATATATATATATATATATAAGAATTTCCCGTTTAAAAGTATTGGATAGATAAGTTTTAACACAAATGGTAAAATTAAAAATTGGGTTATTAAATAATAAACAATAGAATACATTAACCTCCTAAATAAAATGTTTGTTTGGTCACAATCTGTTCGGAGAAATACCTTCTAAATTCCGCCCTATTTTTGCTGGAAATTTCTCCTAACTAAAAACGTCAGAGTCACAGAAGAACTTAACGGTAACTGGAGCTATACGATCATCGCATGGAGCGGCTCCTAATGCACTTCTATGCCTAACGCCCCATAATTTTTACCCAGACAAGGAGGCGAAGGCTAGTTTGTATAGGATTAACGCCCAGGGCGGTCTGAGCTTGCTCTACTACAGATTGAGATCCAAGCTCGACTCAATTAAGGAATCACCGGTCTTATGCATGATCTCAGATATCATGCGTCTACTATACACTTTTGATAAAAAGTATAAAGTGTAACTACCATCCAGAGGACACTGGCTGAATGACCTGAATGACCTGATGAATAGTATACCGATGGGAAAAAAACTGGGCCTCGACGTAGGCTTTGAAATTTATGGCGAACGCCCAAAGTATAAACTTAGTATGAACTTGGGTAGATTCACCTATATCTTCCAGTTTTCACCATACTTTAGTGTGCGGAAATCAATCTGCAAAAACATTACGTCAACCATATATTTTATATAAACTCTGACAGTCAAGCAGCACTGCTAGCGCAGAGGTCGAACTTAGCGAACTCGAAGCTAGTTGTAGACTGCGTGAACCGTGTAAACGCCCTGGGATGTAACAAAAGGGTCATTTTAAGATGGGTTGCGGGTCACGAGGGTATTGTAGGCAACGAATTTGCCGACAAACTTGCACGGGAGGGCTCACAGTGCACACAATTTGGACCTGAGCCATTTTTTGGAATCTCAAGAAGCCTAGCCCGATTGACCCTTGAAACTCATTATCACAATAAATCAATTAAGATTTGACACGAACTCATTACTTAAAAGTCTTTTGATCGTTAATTCGCTTCAAAAGCTCTATGATTAAGCAAAAATAAATTGCGCATTCTGGCCCTAACTGGACACTGTTGTCTTAAAAAGTCCATGTCCATTATGAGACTAAGAAACTCAAGGATGTGTCGGTTCCGTTCCATAACGAAGAAACACGTTTTTTAACGAGGTAGAGCCATGCTGCAGTTATATTAGTAGTATAGTTGTAGCACGAATGGGTCAACTCGACCGGGGAAGGACCACGCTCTCACAGAATACCAGCGTCAAATAGTAGCTTAATGCTGCTGTGTTTCGTATGGTGAGTGTAGAGAACCGGAGACCTTTTTTACTGGAAACGAGGCATTCCACCTAAGTCCTCACGGATGACAACGCATCTGCATCATGATTCGTAATCTAGGATAGATGTCTATGGGCCACATCAACCACTTACCATCAGGTGGACTGTGTGCTCGTTTGTCATCCTATCCTATAAAAAAAACACCTTTGCACATCCTAACTGATTGCAGACCCTTAATGTGCAAACGTAACACTCATCTTGGAAACTATGTACTCCGCCCAGAAGAAGTGAAATTGCTCACAGCTAAGAAATTCCTTCTATTCATTGAAGACACAGGGCTTAGCAGTGAACTATAGCTATAGCAGGGATCACAATACATCTTTTAAGTCGCAGTGATACTGATCTCTTTCCCTAGACCTGCATAGCTGCTCGCGCATAAAAAAACATTCCTAATAAGAAAAATATGATTGCTGGAAAAAGATGTAAACTTACTAAGATTATTTTAAGTTTTATTAAACCTCAGATTTTAAGTAATTTTGAGAATGATAATTAATTTTCAAAGCAAGACTTTTTAACACTGTTTTAGTTTAAGTTTTGTTTCTCATTTTAATATTAATGACTGATTATGATTTTGTTACATTTTTTCGTTTTAGCAACATAAATAAATATTATATTACTGGATTTTGTAGTTCCTTCTTAGTTCAAAATTTTAGTTAGATACACAGTTTGAGGGTTCATCTCTCCTAAGTAACTAATGGAAATATCTCCTATCTGACTTTTGTCTTAAATTCGAAAACTTAAAACTCTTAACTAACATAAAACAAAAAAAAAACAACAGTACAACACTTTCTTTAATTATAATTAATGAAATGTTTTAAAAGCCGACCAACTACTATTTTGTTTTATAAAAAATCCACGAAAAGAAAATAAATCAGTTATATGTGCCTACTGTAAGTTGTTTGTAGAAAAAGATAGGAGATCTCAGAAGTTCACGGACGTTAACACTTTATATGCCTTATTGTTGGACTGGGTACATGCCTACTCTCTCTCATTTCTGAGACTCTTACGTCTGAGTAAAAGTAAAGTAAAGTTACAGCGTATATACGTCCCACTGCTGGGCTCAGGCCTCCCCTCATTTCTGAGAGGGTTTAGGGCAAGGAAGTGTCCGCCGCGCTGCCCAAATGCGTGTTGGCGAACTTCACATGTCTTCGAAATATTTTTTTTCTTGTTCCTCAGACATGCAGGTTTCCTCACGATGTTTTCCTTCACCGCCGAGCACGTGGTAAATCAGCACTT